TATGCTAATTATCCTGATTTTATCATCACATATTGTACACAGGTATTGATATTCAACTCTGTACTCCACAAACTTGTAGATCAATTATGTTTCAATGAAAAAATAAAAATTTTAAACAGAGAGAAATTGACACTGAAATAGATTAAAAGATAAACAGCAGATTAAACACGGGTGAACAAAGTATCCAAGAACAATCTACAAAATAATAGTTGATTATAAGAGCAACATACAACATTTAATTGTAATGATCAATTAAAAATGTAACAAAAAATTTAATAGAAAAATGGTCCTATTCACAAAAGCAGCAAAAAGTAAGATACCTACGAACCAATCTTCCAAGAGATGTGACATAAAAGACAGCCTGACTGAATGGAGATTATTTTGTCCAGAAACAGAACCATACATGTGTGGAAAGTTGATATATAACAGTTGTGTCGTTATAAATCATTGAGGTAAAGGGAGAGCTAGTTGATAAATGGGGTGAGAAAATTGATTATACTCTAATTTTTATTTTTGCATATCATACTAAAAAATAAGTTATATAGATTAAAAGTCATAATCTTTGAAATGTTTAGAAGTAAATATGGAATATCTTTATGACTCTAAGGTAAGGGAAGGATTTCTAGATAGGAGAGGAAGTTGCAGAAACCATAAGTGAAAAGATTTATAAATATAAATAGTATCTAGGGCAATGAAATGCAGATTAAAACAGTGAACTACCATTTTACACATTATCAGATTGGTGTAAATTAAAAAGGTGATGAATTCCAACTATTGATGAAGATGTGGAGTGGTAGGAATGCTAATACATTGTACCACTGGTGACTATCACTTGGTACAAGTTATAAAAAACCATTTGAAAAATAATTTTCAGTACCTGGTAAGTTTGAGGATAAATACATCCTCATCCCAGAAATTCCACTTATAGCCTACCTTAGAGAAACTCTTAATGCATGTAAACAGGGAGACCCATAAGGAATGTCTATTGTAGCATTATTGTGATTGTAAAAAATTGGAGGCATCAAGAGAGTGAGAAGACAAGCCACAGACTGGGATAAAATTATTTGCAAAAAACATATTTGATTAAGGACTGTTATCTAAAATATACAAAGAACTCTTAAAATTCAACAGTAAGAAAGTGAACAACTTGATTGACAATGGGCAAAAATCCTGAAAAGTTACCTCACCAAAGAAGGTATACAGGTGGCAAGTAAGTATATGAGAAGTTGTCCAACATCATTTCATTAGGAAATTGTGAACTAAAACAACAATGAGATACCACTACACATCTGTGAAAATGGCCAAAATCCAAAACACTGACAATGCCAAATGCTGGTGAGGATGTGGAGCAACATTCATTCATTCATTGCTGGTGAGAATGCGAAATGGTGCTGAACATCCTCTTACCATACAGTCCAGCAGTCATCTTCCTTGGTATACCCAAATGAGTCGAAAACTTTCCATATGAAAACTTGCACACAGGGGCCGGCCCNAAATCCTGAAAAGTTACCTCACCAAAGAAGGTATACAGGTGGCAAGTAAGTATATGAGAAGTTGTCCAACATCATTTCATTAGGAAATTGTGAACTAAAACAACAATGAGATACCACTACACATCTGTGAAAATGGCCAAAATCCAAAACACTGACAATGCCAAATGCTGGTGAGGATGTGGAGCAACATTCATTCATTCATTGCTGGTGAGAATGCGAAATGGTGCTGAACATCCTCTTACCATACAGTCCAGCAGTCATCTTCCTTGGTATACCCAAATGAGTCGAAAACTTTCCATATGAAAACTTGCACACAGGGGCCGGCCCGGTGGCGCACTGCTACAGTGCGCCGCTTGAGAGCGCGGTGGCGCTCCCGCTGAGGGTTCGGATCCCACATACAGACCGGTTCCTGCTCACTGGCTGAGCGAGGTGCGGGGGCAACACCGAGGGTTGCGATCCCGTTGCTGGTCCCGGTCCGGTATGGGGGCGACACTGAGGGTTGCGATCCGTTGCCGGACACGGAAAAAGACAAAAAAAAAAAAAGAAAACTTGCACACAGATGTTTGTAGTAGCTTTATTCATAATTGCCAAAATTTGGAAGCAGTCAAGATGTCCTTCAGTAGGTGAATGGGTAAATAAACTGTACTACATCCACACAATGGAATATTATTCAGCACTAAAAAGAAATGAGCTATCAAGCCACAAAAAGACATGGAGAAACCTTAAATCATATTAAGCGAAACCCTGTACTGTATTATTCCAACTATATAATATTCTGGAAAAGGCAAAACTGTGGAGACAATAAAAAGTCAGTGGTTGTCAAGGGTTAGGAGGGAGGGAGTGTGGGATGAATAGATGAGCACAGAGGATTTTTAGGCAGTGAAAATACTCTGTGGTACTATTATGATGGATACATGTCATTATATACATTTCAGTCTATAGAATGTACACCACCAAGAGTGAATTCTAATGTAAACTAGGGACTTTGAGTGATAATGATGGGTCAGTGTAGGTTCATCATTGTAACATAGTACCACTTTGGTGGGGGGTGTTGATAATGGGGAAGGTTGTTCGTGTTTGGGGACAAGGGGTGTATGAGAACTCTGTACTTTCCACTTATTTTTGCTATGAACCTAAAAGTGCTCTAAAAAGTAAAGTCCATTTAAAAAACAAAATAAGAATAACCCCCCCCCCCCAAAATTGAGGATGCTAAATGCTCATTAATAGGAGAATGGATAAGGCCGGCCCCTTGGCTCACTCGGGAGGGTGTGGTGCTGATAGCGCCGATGCCGTGGGTTCGGATCCTATATAGGGATGGCTGGTGCGCTCACTGGCTGAGTGTGGTGTGGACAACACCAAGCTAAAGGTTGCAATCCCCTTACCGGTCAAAAAAAAATAGGAGAATGGATAAATATATTGGAGTATTGTCATGGTCTGGAATATTTAAAACTGTGAAAATGTGTGAATTAGATTCATGTCTGTTACATGGATGACTTAAAAAATCTTTACTGAAAATAAGTTGCAGGATATAGTATACTGTTTATATGAAATTTTAGAACAAAGTACATATTTATAAATGCAATATATCATACAAGTACACAAACATGCATGGGAATGATAAGCGTCAAATTCAGGACTATGTTTAGCTTAGGAATGTTAACAGGGAAGTGTAATCAAGGAGTTTCAATTGATTTTATAGTGCATTTTTTTAAATGTTGAGGCAAATGTAAAATGGTAAGATTGATATACAATTGGGTAGTGAGTAATGAGAATTGTATTACTCTCCATATTTTCTGTATGCTTGAAATATCTAATAAAATAAAACCTGAAAACCAAATGGTGAGCTGGAAGATGAGAGGGAAACAGCACAGAAATGTAAAGATCTGGAAATCACTAAAGAAGTAACGTATCGGACAATATGAAGAGCTCCAGAAAAAGTAAGCAAAGGGATAATGGCTGAGGATTTTCCAGAATGGATGAGGGATGAATCCTCAGACTTAGGAAAAGAAAATGAATCCTTAAGCAGGATAAATTAGAAAGAAATCCAATATACAAAAGCCAATTGTGTTTCTATGCACTGGAAATGGACAGTTTGAAAGTGAAATTAAGAAAATAATTCCATTTACAGTAGGATGAGAAAATAAATACTTAGGAATAAATATAGTAAAAGAAAGTGCAAAGCAGACTCAAACTGTGAAACATTATTCAAAGAAATTAAAGAGGATTTAAATAAATGGAAAGACATCCCATGTTCATGGATCAGAAGACTTAATATTGTTAAGTTGGCAATACTCCCCAAATTGATTTGCAGAGTCAGTGCATTCCCTAGCAGAATCCCAGTTGACTTCTCTGCAGAAATTGACAAGCTGATTCTGAAATTCAGGTGGAATTCCAAGGGATCCAGAATAGCTCAAACAATCCTGAAAAAGAACAAAGTAGGAGGACTCACATTTCCCAATTGCAAAACTATCACCAAGCAGTGGAAATCAAGATGGTGTGGCACTGGAATAAAGATAGGCGTATAAATCAATGGAGAATAATTGAGAATAAACCATATATCTATGGTTAACTGGTTTTTGACAAAGGTGCCAAGACCATTCAATAGGGAAAGAATACTCTTCAACAAATGGTGCTAGGATAACTGCATACTCACATGCAACAGAATGAAATTGGACCCTAACTTCATGCCATATATAAAAATTAACTCAAAATGGATCAAAGACTTAAATGTAAAGCTAAAACTATAAAACACTTAGGAGAAAGTATAGTGGTAATCTATGTTTTACCCCTATGGCCTTGGATCTGGCAATGGATTCTTAGATACAACACCAAAAGCATGAGCAAAAGAAAAAGGATAAATTGGACTTCATTAAAAAAACTTGTATTTCAAAGGACACCATCAAGAAAAGATAAGAAAATATTTGCAATTTATACATTTGATAAGGGACTTGTATCTAGAATATGTAAAGAGCTCTTATAATTCAATAATAAATAGACAACCCCAATTTTAAATGGGCAAAGGATCTGAATAGACATTTCTCCCAGGAAGATATACAAGTGGCTGGTAAGCACATTGAAGAGATGTTCAACATCATTAATCATCAGGAAAATACAAATCAAAACCACAGTGAGATACCACTTCACACCCACTAGGATGGCTAGAATAAAAGTCAGATAACAAGAAATGTTGAAAAGGCTGTGGAGAAATGAGAACCTTCATACACTGCTCGTGGATATGTAAAGTGGTATAGTTGCTTTGGAAAATAGTCTGGCAGTTCCCAAAACAATTAAACAGAGTTACCATGAGACCCAGAAATTCCATTCATAAGAGAGATGAAAACATGTTCACACAAAAACTTGCACATGAATGTTTATAGCACTATTACTCATGATAGCCAAAGGGTGGAAACGTCTCACATATCCATCAACTAATATATTGGTAAACCAGAGGTAGTATATCCACATGATGGAGTATTTTTTGATCATAGAAAGGAATGGAGTCCTGATGCATGCCACAACATGGATGAACCTTGAAAATGTTATGCTAAGTGAAAGAAGCCAGATGTAAAAGAGCACATACTATATTATTCCATTCATATGAAGTGTCTAAAATAGGTAAATCTATAGAGACAGAAAAATAAATGGTTACTTAGGCCTTGGGGAGTAGGGGAGCATAGCCAAAGACAGCAGGGTTTCTTTTTGAGGTGATGAAATGCTCTAAATTTGACTATGGTGATAGTTGCACATATCTATGAATATGCTAAAATCCATTAAATTGTATACTTTGAGTGAATTGTATGGTATGTGAATCGTATCTCAATAAAGCTGTTATTTCAAAAAGCAAAAAATCCGTACCAAAGTATAGCTTAGAAAAAGTATAAAACTCCAAAGACAAATATCTTAAAAGCAAATAGAAAAAAGACACTTTGCCTCCCACAGATTTGTCACCCCTTTTCCCCTGTGTGAAGGAGCTGCCAAAGATTACTCAAAGCCCATCTCTTTTGAGCAGTGAGAAGCCCCAGAAAGGG